CTTGGCGCGGGCGGTGTCGATCTGCGCCGCCACCGAACCATCCCTCGAAAGCTCCACTTCTCAAAGTTAACCTCGTTAATCTCTTGAACTAGTCATCACAAACCCAATTAGTCCCGAGGATCACACCGTCTATCAATCCTCCCTCCCTCAGTTTATCCCTGATTTCTGCTATGTTTCTCCTTCTTTTTTATCTTCTTCTCTCCCCTTCCCCTCCCCCCCTGTTCTGTCCCCCCCCCGAGTCTTGTTCGCCAAGTTTGACATGGCGGATGATAGGAGGTTCTGGAGAACGAGTACAGTACACTCGTGCGATTCTCCGACTTTCTACCGTCACATCCCATCCATCTTCTCTTATCGCTTGGCCTTCTTTATTCTCGTCTGAAATTTGACTGATCCTTGACACCTAGGTCACAGGTATCTTACTAAATTTAGTCCAGGTCATTTTACATTTTCAATTTCTGAGCAATGTGATACCGATCTCAGGCCAACAGAAACATGAATATGATGACGGCCGAGACGAGTTTCCTCCTTGGGAAAACCCCAAGAGCATCAACAGCATCATCGTGCTCCGCAATTGACCGAATCGAGCGATACACTATTTGTGATCTGTCTCTACCCTGCTCTGTTGTCCGCTGCCCCTCCGCGCCCCCCCCCCAAATAGATGACTGCGATTGCGCACATCCAGTGATTTACCGATGCTCGAGAGTCCTCGTCATCACGGGCTATTATTGCATACGCCGCAGTTGGCCCTGTCCATCCGCACTATGCTGTAGATCTTTGTTCTCAATATGGCCTTGCTGTTGAAGACCAGAGAATTGATTTTATTATCTTTCTGAACCTCCCCCCTTTTTTATTTCGGGTCACATAATTAAGCTTAAGGGAGAGGCTAGGCATTAGGCTCCATCCAGACCGTGATTGCCGCTGAAAATCCACCAGAGCAGAATCTAAACTCCGCGGCGGGCGAAGCTGCATGGAAATCAGATCTTCTAGTCTAACACCTTAGCATGCGGGACCGGCCATCATGTCAAGGCCAAGGCAACAACTCGGAGGCAGTGGGCACCGGTTTTCGGGTTAACCGGACTCTAGCCCACCCCCCGGCCCTCCCTCCACCCTGAGTGCGAATGGTGCCGATGTAGATCCCCGAGATCCATGCAAATCCTGAGAATGAGGATCTTGCCTATCAATGACCATATCGGTCTCTCCTGTAAATCTTCGTCCATGCCCAACCCTTCTGGCACTGAAGGGACAAGATTAACAACAGAGCCGAACACATTTGAATATGATCACATTGTACCAACGAATTGCCAGTCGGTATCTGCTATGGACAGGCAAAGCTGATGAAAAGCTCAAGGGTATCTCAGATAACAACCACGCCTTGAAGATATTCCGGTCTTGAACATGCACGTGAAAGACTCCGGCTCCGTTGGTCAACAGTTTCGCCGGTGATGATCGTCCGTTGCCACAATGACCCGCTGGTCCTGATGCCGCCGTCTCTCAATAGACCGTCCAGATTTCCGAACACTTGCTCCGCTCTTTCTAGATTCTGCGATACATGACAGATGCGCCGGATCCCTGAAACACACCAATCCTATGCTGCAGGTGGATTGCATTCGTCAGCTCCCAGCTTCGAGCGCTAGTCGACGGTCTCGGCAGCCCTCAATGGATTGCAGAGCTCATACTCCTGACCACTCGTCGTCACATCAGCCCCGTCTTGTCTCTCCCAGACCCTTGTTGTTCCCACTTCATATCTCCCACTTCCAGCGGCTGCCCAATGGCTTGGATCTGCCCCAATGTGACCTAGCCTGCTGGGTGCCAAGTGAGACCGGTCGGAGACGAAGGTCCCTCCAACTCGGGCCCTCGTGCATGCGATAAGGCTTCTATGTGTTACCCACTTGACTCCCATCTAGGAAGGTCCTCGGATTGACCTCATCTATCAAACATGCTCCGCAGTGGAGATGCCTAGTCCTTTCCTTTGTCGGAGTCCGAGCGCGTTTTGTCCGTGGCATCAATGACATGGAAAACTCCGGGACATATAGTGCACTGGCCTCGCACATTGTCCGTCTGCAGAAACACTCTTCTTGTATATCCTCTTTGAATTTGGATACTATTGCTTAGCAAGTTGCTTCAGGGCTGGACCTGCAATCAAGTCGTAAACATGGCCATCTCGAGAGAAGATACCACAAAGTTCCCAGAGCCACAACTTTCCTCGGTGGCTTCCTCAACGGATCAAGACTCAGAGAAGGGTTCGATCTCGCGAGACCCATCCACATTCGAGGGTCAATCATCTGAGCCTCCACCACATCATATTTTCACTCGGTCCCGCAAGTTGCAGATGGTATGCATTGTCTCTATGGCCGCCATCTTTTCACCGTTGTCCTCCAATATCTACTTCCCTGCTTTGGACGATGTATCGAAGGTGTGTATCCAGAGCATAATCCAGGCAGTGCTCGGACCTCCCGAAGATCCAGACATGTTTACTGAATGTGGAACAGTCACTCAATGTCAGCATGACGCTGGCGACTCTCACTATCACAATATACATGATTGTCCAAGGCCTCGCGCCGACCTTTTGGGGCTCGCTCTCAGATGCTTTAGGAAGACGCCCTGTCTTCATCGGCACCTTTGTTGTCTACTTAGTAGCAAACATCGCACTGGCCGAGTCCAAGAACTATGGCGAGCTAATGGCATTTCGCGCTCTTCAGGCTGCTGGTAGTGCGGCTACCATTTCCATAGGTAAGGTTGACATTTGGGCTTCACTGCTGCAGCACTCCTAACGTTTATGCAGGGGCTGGAGTTATTGGCGACATCACCACTTCTGCAGAACGGGGTAGCTTAGTGGGTATCTTCGGCGGGGGTGAGTAGAATTGACTCTGTAGATTCGGAAGGATTCGGTGGCATGTACGCTGACAAGAATGATAGTCCGCATGCTTGGACAGGGCATTGGCCCAGTCTTTGGTGGCCTGCTGACCCAGTACCTGGGATATAGGTCTATCTTCTGGTTCCTGACCATTCTTGGAGGCGTGAGTCTAGTGTCAATCCTGGTTCTCCTCCCAGAAACGCTCCGCCCCATTGCTGGCAATGGCACTGTGAAGCTTCATGGCCTCCACAGGCCTTTTCTATACCACTTCACGAGCCAGCCCGGTGTCGTCGAGGGTGCAGAACCGGGGTCCACAAAGGCGAAGGTGACTTGGCGGACTGTGTGTGCACCACTGAAGTTCCTGGCCGAAAGGGATGTCTTTATCACACTATTCTTTGGGAGTATAGTGTACACTGTCTGGAGCATGGTGACATCGAGCACCACGGATCTCTTCAGCGAGGTCTATGGCCTATCGTCTCTTGAAGTAGGGTTGACATTTCTGGGCAACGGTACGTCGAGCTCTCAGCAGACACTACCAGAGATTTCAGATTGCTAATGTCAACAAAACAGGATTTGGATGTATGTCAGGATCTTACCTGGTGGGGTATCTTATGGACTACAACCACCGCGTGACGGAGCGCGAATATTGCGAGAAACATGGATATCCGGCGGGCACTCGAGTCAATCTCAAATCACACTCGGACTTCCCCATTGAGGTTGCTCGGATGCGAAACACTTGGTGGATAACTGCCATCTTCATCGTGACTACAGCGGTCTATGGCGTGTCTCTCCGCACCCATGTTGCTGTTCCCATTATCTTGCAATACTTCATCGCCTTCTGTGCGACGGGAATCTTCACCATCAACAGCGCGTTGGTCATCGATCTGTATCCCGGAGCAAGCGCCAGCGCAACAGCGGTGAACAACCTGATGCGATGTTTGATAGGAGCTGCAGGTGTGGCGGCTGTACAGCCCATTCTGGAAGCGTTGGGGGCAGACTACACATTTGTCTTGCTTGCGGGTATCACATTGGTGATGGTTCCATTGTTGTGGATTGAAGACCGCTGGGGCCCTGGTTGGCGCCACGCCCGGGAGCGGAGGCTCAAAGCACAAATGGAATAGACTGTTTTGAGTCTACCGGGCTTTTCTCAATGGACAATGATACTCGGATTTGCGGGCGCTCAATGGAGTTCGGCGCTGGTTAAAGGATTGTTTTGTGTTGATTCTTATACCATATTGGGGCACATAATCATGGCTCCTGATTATAAATGCTTAGAGTCATATGAATTATAAAATATGATTCTCATATTCCTTTTTCTGTACCCTGTTCATTTAATGATATGCAACAATGCTGGCCGATCGAGGATCATGTAATCTACAGGCTGATTGACTATGAACTCAAACATGGCATTGAATAAAATGAGGTCATAAGCTTCTGTGGTGGCAGGTGAAGTTGGGCCGAGAACTAATTGGCTTAGTCATTGGGCTGACGAACCATGGGTCGACGGAAGAGCTGCATCTCTTCTACAACAACAATATCATCACACATATGTGCAACGTACATACTGTACTGACTATAGTGTCGATGGGAAATACTGGTCAGATCAAATACATTGACAATCCAGAGTGCTCTGAACAGCTCATTTGACCCTAACGGACGCAAGGACTAGCGAAGATTGATTGCATTCTGCAGGGATGTTTTGTTTGGCCGCGAAGAATGCATCTTAGCTAAGCCGCATGGGAGCACGTGACGGGGACCCAAACAACCGCTGCGTTCGTTGCTTGAGAGACGGATTTCTCTGTTTATTCCTCCCATCGACCTTCGCCCACTTCGACCCTGCAAACGCGGCCGCTATGAGCCTTCCATAGCCAGTCTGCTGCAGCTCTACGACAAACCTGTGGATGCCGTGACGACGACAAGTTATACAACCTGCTGCCTCTTTCTTCTGGCGTTCGTGCCCGCTCTGCGTCTGCTGCGGTGGGGATTCGTGCGGTTCGAGGGTGGTTCCGTGAAGGATCAAAACAGACGCTATTGCCCGTGGTTACCACATCAAACCAAACCCGTCTCTCACCCAGCAACGTGCGCTGTGTGTAGCAGTATTCGAAAATCTTCCCCTCCCAGTCAATAAAGTGGAATTAAGAAGAATATGCCTCCTGATATGGGTAAGAGACACTGCTTTTCTTCCTGCATGCGACCTGTCTCGGTGGTTCATCGGGCTTTGACTGTTCCGTACCGTCTGTCCCTTGGGGGTTTGGGTTGCTTCCTGCCCTGCTGCTGCTTCATAAGTTTATAAGTTTGGCCGGCTAACCGTGCAGGCACAGTGGGCCGAGCGGCCTCGCAGGCGTCGAGTGTTGCTTCTCAGACAACCCAATTAGTAGCACCACTCAGCCGCCCCGGTACCGCTGATCTCATGCGATCACGATCGGAAACTGTAGTATCAAGGAACAGCCGTCGCCCACGGTCGCGAGGCTCAACGGCTAGCATTCATTCCACCACCACTCAACAGACCCAGGATCAACAGATCACAGACGGATTCCCCCAGTTCTTGCCCACGCAGCCCACCGGTCATAGTGTCTTCGCCAGTAACCCGGAGGAAATCATCATGCGATTCGGACAGCAGCTGTCGCACCAGGTAAACGGCGCATCTCTCGACCCGACGCTGCAAGAGGCCCATCATCCCGTTATGCCGCGCGCTGAGGAGTTCCCGGCCCATGCAATGCACAGTCACCATCTATCCCATCACTCACTGTCGGCCGGTATGCCGGCTCACGGCCTCTCCATGCCGATGCCACAGTTTGCGGCTATGTATGATAGTGGGATTGAAAACCATGTGCCGGAGCACGTACTGGAGGACAATGAGAATTCCGAGGCAGGCGCAAAGAAGAAGAAAGGGTCCAGCTCCTCCCTCGCCAACGATAACGAGCTGCGGAAACTACTACGCCAATATGAGGGGTTCACCCTGAAGCAGATGGCAGCTGAGGTCCTGAAGCATGAAGGTGCTGGCGGCAAGGCTGAAAAGGTGAAGCAGGTCTTTGCTATGATCTGGTAAGCAGCGGTTTGATCTTGGACTCTGGCAGCCATGCTCACCTGGCTATAGGTTGAAGGAGAACTGCAGGAAAAGTAGCGGCTCGGTCAGACGTGATCGCGTCTATTGCTGTTACGCCGAGAAATGTGGCACAGAGCGTGTCTCGGTGTTGAACCCCGCGTCATTTGGGAAATTGGTTCGAATCATCTTTCCCAACGTTCAGACGAGACGGTTGGGAGTTCGTGGTGAATCAAAGTACCACTACGTGGATTTGACCGTGATCGAGGAGAAACAGCAGAAGCCCCCACCACTAAACCCCCAGTTGCCGATGAGTGGAAATGGTTCCACTGGTGTTACGGATACCAAGGTCGAAGATATCATGCAGAAAAGGTATGATCAATGTTCCATGCCATTTGACTGACGCAAAGTATTGATGAAGCCTGTAGCATCAGCGTCGCACCCCAACCACCTGCTGATACCGCCGAATTCCCTTCCCCCACAACATCATTCACCCCCAGATTCTCGACCAATACCTCGAATCCAGGTTGTGGTTGTCCGATCTCATCTTACTCTTATGGTGATTCCGCCATCACCCTGGATAATATGGCAAGCCAGGCCGGCAAAATCATCCATCAAATGCTCGATCTACCTTCATGCGACACGCCTTCCATCGATAATGAAGACCTTCACCTTCCTGATATACAGCAATACCTCCCAGCAAACACGGACCCAAAGATCGCTGCTGCCCTTGCAGCACTTTATCGCTCACATTGTATTTCTGTCATTGACAGTTTCCGATACTGCAAGGAAAAGAACATGCTCCGATACTTCTCGGCCTTCCATGGCACTCTGACAGTTCCTGTGCAGAAGCTCTTAACGCATCCTAACCTTGCACCATGGATCAAGGAGTGCGATTGGATCATGTATCAGAAAATGATTGCGTTCGTCGCACCGCTCACCACTCAGGTGGTGCCGAAATTGGTTTTGGATGCTTTTTGCTCCATTTCGCAACGGCTGACCGCCCACATTGCGGACACATTCAAGACTCAACCCACACATGTTTCTCTGGCCAGACTGCTCCCAGCGCATATCTTCTGTAATCTACTTAAGCATATGCTTGATGTCAACCAGTCTGCCAACGCGGCTGCCGCATGGTTGTGCCATCCCGATAACAGAAATCAGATGTGGTTCGATTTCAAGACCTTGGTTGACCCCAAAGAAATGATCATGAAAGCCAATATTCCCAGCTGCGCGGAGCGTGCAACCGAACAGATATTGAAGCACGACATTCGATCTCTCCTCACCCCAGTTACAGACATCAACCCATCCACCACTCTCCCCTTCTTCGCCAGGCCTGATACCGAAGAAGACACCAAAGTACACAAATTCCCCGTTGACGAGGCGACCGGCGATGACTACAACTTCCCGGACAAGTGGATCTCTTTCATTCTAAATCTTCCGGGAGCTTTCCCGCATCACCGCACTCAGTGCATAATTGAGAAAGTCGATGCTCTGTGGGATTGCATCCTGCGGCGACTTACCCTGGGAGGCGCTCAAAGTTTCAGCGCTTGGTGGATGACCAAGGTCTTCTTTCATGAAATGATGTTATGGCAAGCTGAAAAGGGAGGGTTCATGCGTTACAAGCCAAGTACTCTGCAACACGCTGGTATGGCTGCGAACCAGCAAGGGCAGAGTGGATTTCTCATGAAGCCCTCAAACTTATCGGGTCACGAGAGAAGTGACTCAATGATGACAACTGATTCTCAGCTCGGAGGCGAGGCAAGAGTACGACCGACTCCTAGCTCCACGTCAACAGAGAGCATGAGTCAAACTCAGGATTCTCTGCGGCCCCAAGTGGATACCGAGTCAAACCCTAATGATACCGAAAACGAGAAGCCTACCAATATTCCCGAGAGCATTGCTGGCTTCCATGCTCCGAATAATGACGATAGCGCCATTGATCTTGACGACGACTCGATGTTGATGACCGTGGGTAAATATGGTGATATGATGGCTTCCGACCCAGCGGATGCTGAGGGAGACGTCGTTGTCATATGATTTACCTATACATATTCCTTCGAATTTCCGTTCTTGGATTCAAAATACGAGTTTTCTTTGTTTAAGGGTGGAGTTGAATTCTCTTTTTCTATTTCAGGAGTACCATTTTGGTTTGATCATCTGTTTGATGTCTCTCGCCCGAAGAGATTTCACCTTCGGCGTTCGACGATCTTTGCATGAGAGACGAGAAACGAGAGAATCGATTCGAGATAACGTCGGCCTCGATACGTCGTCCTAGCACCAATCACACTGTTGCCTATGGTATCAGGTTGATTTTTACCTCTCTCTACACACATACTCCTACTCAAAGCGTGGTTGATCCCGCTTGGCTCCCTCTTCTGACTGTCCTCTTTTCACCCCGCGCACGACCGAGCTACGACTCACCCATCTCTTCCTGTACATACATACGCATACTACTTTCAGATTTGCTGACGAGGGCTGATGTGATCTCTCACAAAACTCGTTGTTGGCTTTGTTTCATGTTGAGGTTGTTGGAAGGGCCTATGTGTGGCTTCACTGGCGCTAGATGGCCCATTTGCTCATTTTTGTCCGAGTTTTACGCATTGGGGACTACCAATCTATCTGTTTGTGTACGCTTGATGTTTAGCCTGTGGGCGGAGGGGCGACTTGTTCACTGAACCGTCTGCAGTCGTTGCCTTACTACACATACCATACTTTAATACTTACGAACTTTTCAAACCGAACAGAATTGCGCTCCTGTAACTCGGCACTTCTCTACACCTCGCAAGCGGCGGCTCCTTCCAGGTATTCCTTTCCAGCTTTGCTTATTTGACTCGAGTAGTAGTTTAATGTGCATGCACATGGAGAGGTGAGTTAATAGGTAGCGTCCACCCAGGCCCTTCTCGATTAGCCAGCCCTCGACTTCGTAAGCATACTGGAGCCGGAGCCCAATGGTGGCGAACATATGCTGATAGCAAGGCTACGTCACGGAGCAGACCCTTTTTTTTTCCTTTGAAGAAGAAAGGAGGACCATTCTGTTTCATTTGTTATCCCACATTAATACAACGCCGATTTCAGGCACGGGTAACCAGAATACTCGGAACATCGTCCCACCACCTCAGAGGTGTGAAACATACGGGTGCTTGAAAAACATTTCTATCTTAATTGGGTATTGTTTTCGATCAGGAGGTATGGGCATGGGTATGGGTATGGGTATGAAGGAAGACAGGGACCAATAAGTCCTGGCTGTGTGTAATAGAATGCAAGGTCAGTCCTTGAGAGTGCCCGAAGGTGGCTTGCGGTGCACATTTGCACAACCGGCAACCATGAAGCGAACACACAGATCCGTGTGGTGGTGAGAGTTTGCACGCAAGAGGTATCATGGGCTCATCTGAGACCTGCGGCTGGGAAGAACCTCGGGCCACCATAGCCGTAAGCAACGATGCTCTGAATGTCTATGTTCTTTCCGCTATGGGGGTTCCACAGCTTGACAAGGATGTATCTTCCTGAGCTGTATGATGACAACAAGTTAGACACGTAGGGTCTTCTCGAGTGGCAAGGCATAGAACTTACGGTGGGGGATCAAACTTGATGCTGACCATGCTCTTGTGTCTGGCAATGTGAAACCGTGCATGGGGTTTCATAAGTGAAGAATCCAGGGGCTGCGAGTCTTCGTGGCGTTGGGGGGGAGGTGTATCGGGCGAACGTGGACGGTGCCTTGGGTGTGCTGCTTCATAGCGACGCCGCATGGCTCGAATCTGCCTTGATAAAGCCCGGCGGCGGCGAGGAAATGTACCCATTCCCGCGAGTTCAGCTTCGCTTGAACTGTCACTGGTGTCCGAACAGATGGCGGCGTCGTCGAACCGATCAGGCTCCAGACGCTCTATCTCGGTGAGGTAAGGAGTCTCGTCATCATCGTCATTCCGTCCGTGGGCATCCGAACGTGCGTCCGATTGTTCATCGTAATTGGTTATGGTGCGAAACTCCGGTATGGGATCAGGTTCGCCTCCCTCGATGGACCTCGCAGGGTTGTTGTTGTTGTTGTTGTTGTTGTTGTTGTTGTCAGTGTCAGACGTTTCGGTGTTGAGATTGGGATCGGCCATGTTCCCTCGAATATTTGGCAGGCGAGGCCGGTGCGCATTCAGGTATTCCTGGGATGGCTGCATTCCATTGTGCCAATTTCGCCCAGTCCGTCTGGTCGCCTCACATTGAACATGAGATGCGGCTGTACGAGCCAAAAGGTCGTCAGATGTCATTGAGACAAAAACCATGCCTTCCTGAATCCTACTAACAGAGTCAGCAGCGACATTGACGTTGTGAAGCCGCTATCACTTACGGAGCATCATAACCGATTCTCGGCGCCTTGATGACGATCTTCTGCAAACAAAAAGGGATTCCAGCTTGGTGTTTCAAAACCAAGTTGCATCGGTCTGATTTTGTGCAGTACACGGTGGAGTCATTGCGAAGGATGTTCTCGGGCCAGGAGCTTTCTCCGTCCGGTTCGTATGTGCCTCCGTCACAGCTGGCTAACTCCATTCTGAGTGGTCCTGGTACCACCTGACCATATTGACCGTAACGAAAGTTCTGCAGACCTTCTCTATGATCATCCGTCTCCAACTTGCGACGCTTTGTCCTCCAGTGATCCATTGGGGATTCACTCTCCAATTGCTGCGGCACGACCGTTGGTGACTCGAGACGGGGAACCGGCTCATCCAGAAGAGACGTTTGATTTGCGCCTCTGCTTCTTCTCACGCGGCCAATCCGATCCTCCGCTCTGAGAGGACGGAACCTCGGAGTCCTACTGCCAGATCGGGTCGGGTCAGAAGCACTTGCTTCCGAGTTCACAACTGTCACACTCAACGCGTGCGGTCTCTGACCACCAGGACGCACCGGACCTGCCGTGCTGTCGTTGGCTTGATGTTGATTCCAGATCTGGCGTTCCGCTCGAACTTGTTGAAACTGCCGGTCCAGAGCTGCCCTGGCCTCCTCGGCGATAAACGAGGACCTGCCCCGGTATTCCTCCAACTCCTGGTTTAAAGTTTCAAGCGCACGAGCCGAATTGTTACGGTTACGCTCGGAATTGAGCAGTTCCTGGAGATGTTGTAGACGATTTAGAACAGGGCGTTGCTGTCGGTCGTTGTTGGTACGAGACCCTCGAGAAGGACGGCGGGAGGCGGGAGGATAATCGTAGTTCCCGGACTTGATGTGCAGGACGTCAGAAAGTCAGCATTACCGATGATACGCGGTATAATGTGTTCTCCGCAGATGGCTGTGAGCCACGTACCATAACTTGATGTTAAGAATTAACCCATCCACCGTGGTGAATTGTTTTGGGGGTTGGGGGGGAGGGCGTACAGCGGGCAACTATACGGGAACCCGATAACCACACAAAGGATAAAGGTGCCACAGAAGGACAATGCAGAGATAAAACCGGAAGATGGATCAATGAAGGAGGATATGGGGGGAGATGGGATGAAAGAGAGAGTATGTGTGAGTAGGAAAGATGAAGCTGAAAGAGTATGTGAAGGAAGAAGAGAAGATGATGGATATTGAGAAGGCGAGTGGAAAGAGGGAGGAAGTAAATGGAGGTGGAGAAAGACCAAGAGATGGTCCAGAATGACGCCCGCCCGCGGGCTTTCATTGCCAACTCCCAGCGATAAGCGACTAAGCTTATTATCGACACGTGATGACGATAGATAGAAAGATTACAGAGGAGATGCGGTACTGTACGGAGACATATTCAATCTTCACATTCAATTCACTTTGGCTTCCTTCTCATATCCCCAACTCGGTTTTCCTTCTCCTCTCACCCTCGTCTACTCCTATATCTTCCCTTCTCCATCTCTTCTGTCTACCTGTGTCTAGTTTCCTAGATCTAACTGCCCAATCCTTGCTTCCAATACTGGCCTCCAAACCCCCCCCCAACCCGACCTGCGCGCATACCTGCGTCCGCCTACCATTAAAAGTCAACCACCATCCCTTGATTGCTGCGGAATATTATCTCTTCGGTTTGAAAGCGTGTCACTCAACTCAGGTCCATTCACCGCGCGGGACGGGCTCTCTGTCGCGTGAGCTGGAGATTGCCTCTTTTCCCGCATTATACGTCATTCAGCCATGGAGTCGCAGCCAGCCCCGGCGATGAGCGCAGGTGTGTTTAATCCATAAACCTCACAAATTGTCAACAATGAATAGCATTCCTGACGGTAATCGTGGGACGGAAAAGATGAAATCGCGCTCTATGACCGCCAAATCCGTCTCTGGGGAGTCAAAGCTCAAGAAAAGTGAGCTACCTCGGTAGTACCCTCCGTGGCTTGCGTAGCGTGTCCTGACCCTCGGTCTTCTCCTAGGCTGCGATCGGCGAATATCCTACTGATCACATTCAAAGCTCTGGCGAACGAGGTCGCCAAAAACCTGGTGCTTGCGGGCATCGGTTCTCTTACCATCATCGACCACGAGAGTGTGACGGAGGAGGATCTCGGCGCGCAATTCTTCGTGAATGAGGATTGTGTAGGCCAGAATGTAAGGGTGGAACCGTTATCCTCCATCAAGCTCTCATTCAGATGCTGACGCGATTTTCCAGCGAGCACAAGCTGCAGCGCCGGCCATCCGTGCCATGAACCCTCGGGTCCAGCTCCACATTGACACGGAAGATGTGCACCTCAAGCAACCGGAGTACTTTGCCCAATTCGACATCACGATCGCCACCGAACTCGACTTCCACACTTACACGACCATCAATGCCGCCTGTCGGATAGCCAACCGGCCCTTCTACGCCGCCGGCCTGCACGGCTTCTACGGCTTCGTCTTCGCCGATCTGATTTCCCACGACTTTGTGATCGAGCGGTCCAGATCCAACGTGGCATCGGTCACCCAGGAGACCCCGACGCGGAGTATCCTCAACATCACCACCAAGAAGGAGAACGAGAAGGTCATTGAGATGGTGACCAAGCGCGAGGTTTACTCCCCGCTGATCTTGGCCAACACCTCCCCGCTTCCCGAGGAGTTCACGCGTCTGCCCCGCAAACGCAAGCAGGTCACCCCGCTCCTCACCTGCCTCCGCGCGCTGTGGGAGTACCAGAAACTCTCCGCCGGCGCGCTCCCGACATTCTCCCACCAGGACCTCGAAGTCTTCACCAAGCTCGCGCGAGACGGCCACCAGGAACTGAAACTGGACATCGCCACCCTCGACGCGGAATTCCTGCGCACCTTCTTGCAGAACCTGAACAGCGAGCTGAGTCCCGTGGCCGCCTTCGTCGGTGGCAGTCTGGCGCAGGACGTGATCAATGTGCTCAGTGCCCGCGAGCAGCCCCTCCAGAACATGCTGCTGTTCGACGGTGAACGGCTGACCGCCCCCATCTATCCCCTGCACCCTATCTTCCCGCCGGAGGTTGATCATCTGCTGCCGGCTGTGATTCCAGTCCCGAACCCAATTCCCTTGGACGGGGCACCCGCTCTGGCACCTTGATGAGCTCGACCAGCCCCAACAAGCATCCTGCAGAGGGGGATAAAAGAGTGCAGAGGCGCACAGATAAGGAAAGGAATCCACCTTCTGGGGTTTGGTGCCGGAAATGAAAAGGGTCAATTGGGCGTTCTTATCTTGTTCCCTACTACAGGGCGGTACGGATCTTTGCATATCTACGCCTGCGCTGTAATGCTCCACGCCTAGCGATTTACCACCAGAGGTAACGACGTGTATGATAGATTTGACAATACTACAATCGAACACTCTTCAAGCACTACCCATGGCTGTCGACTGTGTGGCCGTTGGAGGTGGCGTGTCTCTCTCAACGTCCTGCGCGCCTGAATATTTAAGACTTTTGTTAAAAGCACGACGCTCATAGGTATATCCCTTAGCCAATCATCCACGTCTATTTGTTGCGCTGCAATGCAACCTTGAACCCGACCCCTTCAAAGACCGGGCGGGACAAGTCATTTGAAACCAGTATTTCAAGGTCCAATGGTATTCCAAGTAAAGTCCAATGCATTTTGGGAGTCGGAAAAGAGATATGAACAGTTCAAGCTTGCTGAAATGGAACACGCCCGAAAGAAAGTTATATGATTTAAACTCCTTAATATCAATGCGTTGACGTTTCCTTACCAACGAGAGCAGAGCTTTCCTCGTCGTCCACTTTCCGAGGTCCCATTGTGTTTCTGCTGTGCTCCCCGTTGTCTTCCTCATCGGAAATGAGCCCCTGCAGCTCGAACTCCTCGGCGTCATGGACGTGCTGGTTCTCAGATGCCGAGCGGGCGTGGCCGTTCAGAAAGCGGCCGTTGGGCTGGTTAGGCTTGTAGCCAGGCGCGCTTTCGCCGGCGTCATCTGCAAAGCTGGAGGAGCGGGAGCGGGACGGTGGCTTGGTGGATTCAGGCCATGCGTGAGCAGCGTAGATATGCAGGAGGACATTAACGACTGAGAGGAAGGATGTTAGAGCAAGGCCTCCGGGCATATCAGTGGGATAGTCAGGTACAACGTACAAAGGAAGAGAATGAAAGCAATGCTGTACAGGATCAGGACGTAAGAAACATGTGTGATTCCAGCGTCGCTGAGCAGTTGCATTTGTTCTTCGGTGGCGCCCATGAAGAGGAACCCAGACGCGTACAACAACTAGCATCGAGTCAGTACGGTAGCTCAGAAATCGAGAGTGACCAGGCGACTTACGAAAGGCGTGAGATACTGAAAGCTATTCGGGTCGGAACCGTCCGGGCTGACGGTGCCCTTGTCTCTGAGCACAAAGGAGATTTCGATAATCCTGGTAAAGCCGGCCGCCATCAAGGTGTAACCGAAGATGGAGTGGATCATAGTACTGATCATCAGATGCTGGGGGTGAGCGGACATGGCATAACCGGTGAGCAGAATAACCAGGGCTGGGATGAGATTGCGCTTGGGGCGGCCATTGCGTTTCCGGCTCAGCCAAATACCCAGCAGCCCGGCACACCACCAAACGATTCCCATCGTGGTATGCTGTAGATCATTGTGAACCCAGGGACCTCCCCACCGGTGCTCAGTGAAGGTGTTGACGCATCCCCAGGCGGCGATGATCAGCGAGTCGAAGAACTCCTGGCTGCGTCCCGTGCGGCGCAGCCAGTACTGACCAACAAGGAGCAGGATGGTAAGCAGAATTCCATAGGCGATGAAAGCGCTGCCCATGATGAAGTGAGCCAGACACTGTCCCAAGTGGTCATCCCGGCAGAAGCCCATGGCCGTGATCCCTCCAAACAGCATCTGAACCCAGCTTGCGACCGGCATGGCCTTGCCGACGACTCCGTGCGCAACCACCATGACCCGACGAATCCGCCCGTGGATACCCTTGGTGAGGTGTAGCTTGAGATAGACGCCCAGGACGATTTGAACCACCATCATCAACATCAGTGTATTTGCGAAAGACGCATGGACGTTTTTGGCGAATTGGCGACCCTTGTGCGCATGGCCCAGGAAGTATGCGACTACTGCGACAATTGTGCCGACAATCTGGAGAGGAACATGCCAGCGCGACCGTACAATCTAGTTGACAAGCAAGAGACGTTAAACCCCAGGTCCAGACATTCAAGTATAACTCCGCAGCCATCCAAATGAGGCGGTCGGAGATAAGTACGGAGAGACTTATACTTACCCCGAGAACCATACCCAAGGGGAAAATAATGCCAAAGGCAAGTCCCATGAGAATCATATGCAGCCATAGAGTCGAATCCTGAAGGGAAATTTGTCAATTTTGAGACAGAAAGAGGAGGGGGGGGGGGGGGGGGGGGGGGAGAAATGGTTGTGATTCCAAGGCAAGATGAAACCTACAATCGGATCTTCGGAGATGGCGGCACCGTCAGGGACATTTTCATGGCCTTCGTGAGCGCACGCTGGGATGGCCAGCAGCAAGGTTACCAGCAACCCGGACAGGTGAAATCGACTCGTTATTGCCATGGTTGCCACTTCCTTTTTCTTTCTGGAGGGAACCCAAAAAAAAAAAGGTGTGTAAGGAGGGGACAATAGGGAGAGAAGAGAGAAGGGGGATGTACAGTAGATACAGAGAGAGAGGAAAGAGAGGGAGGGGACAAAGAGCGAGTGAGGAAGAGGGAGAGAGAGAGAGTGTTGGCCGATCATGGATCGGGATGGTGGAGGACGTAAGCATCCACAGCCTGTGCACATCTAAAGCGCATTCGGGCAACGCGGATTGGGCCATGGGCTCCGCATTTCTATACTTATACTACTAGCTACTAAGGTAACCTGTTACTTCCATCATGATTCCAGAAATCCAGAAATCCATAAGAACTATCCGTAAGTACTTGGAAAAGGGAACTAACAGATTACTCATACTCCACACTACCTTATTGCTTCTGTACAGTACAGTGTACAGTACAGTGTACAGTACAGTACGATACAGGTCCTGATCAAGTGGTATGTAGTCCACCTGTTGTTGAAAGTTATCCCTTCTCTTTCACTTTGTTTCCTCATTGCCACTAATACGAACCCCAGGAGATTCCTAAACTCCAATTGAACAATTAATCTGCTGGACGGGATCATTATCAATTCATCATGCCATCTCCGCGAGGCTCCACCGCCGAATCCGGCAACAGACAAGCATCTCCAGCCGACCAACAAGCATCCAAAGAAAAGAAGCTGGTACGTTTCACTTAAAAAGGAATGAACCTCTCATATCTTGTCTCATCTCGCTTCAGTCTATACTACGCCAGTCGATTGCAGATACACAAACCCAGATCGCCGACTTGGAGGCTCAGATCGCCGAAGCCAAGGCCCACTTGAAGTATGAAACCCCCCCCCCCCGAGTCCGCTCGCTCATAGAATCAAGGACAGGATGAATGCTTACCGATCAACTTCACCGTGCTTGCCAGGAACGACCCAAAAGCCACGGTGCAACAACATATCCGTCTGTTGCACGAATACAATGAAATCAAGGACGTCGGGCAGGGACTACTGGGCCTGATTGCAGATGCGCGGGGAGTGCGACAAATTGACGTGCAAAGAGAGTATGGAGTGGGCGATCGCGATTGAGAATCACCCTTCCCGTGGCATTACAACAACTACTAAGGGCTTACGAGACAGGGGAGCTTGAGTTGTGTTCTTTTACTCCATCTCAAATTTTTGTTTCTATATGAGGGGAAAGTCTCCAATAAGAGGTACAAGAGGTACAATACAGGTCATCGACCTGTGCGCACGGCAAGGAGGGGAGGCTGTATTCTAATTCGCCTCCAAGAAAAACAGGTCTCATGTTCTCCATCGAAACCCCAAGATACCACCAGCCAACTCCACAACATGGTAAATGCGAGTCACAATATCCGGTGGGGGACACAATATCATGCATATGCCTCCAAATTCATGTCTCATGAGAAACAAGGGCGTAAAAAAAAAAAAAAAAAAAAAAAAAAAAAACATGGAAGAGCTGAAGATGTAAGAAGAAGCGGTGAAAAAAAGGCAGGATATTAAACCAACTGTACAGGATATATAGTGCAATTGAATTAGTGGCCCTTGTCCAGGCTCTGCAAGTTGACCAGCTCGAAGTAGCGACCTTTGGCGCGGATCAGCTCCTGGTGTGTTCCGCTCTCCACTATCTTGCCTTGGTCAAATACGTAGATAACGTCGGCTTTCTGAATGGTACTGAGACGGTGTGCAACTGCAATGGTGGTTCGACCCCGTGCAGCAGCATCGAGTGCTGCTTGCACAACTTTCTCGGATTCGGAGTCAAGGGCAGAGGTGGCTTCGTCAAGAAGCAGGACTCGCGGATCCCGGATCAGGGCCCGTGCGATAGCTACACGTTGCTTCTGACCTCCAGACAACATGCCTCCTTTGCTGCCGACTACCGTATTGAATCCATCTCTGTGAGATGCAGCATTAGTTAAAGAACTTTGAAAATGGTTTCCAGGACGAGAACTCACGGGAGAGACATGATGAAATCATAAATATTGGCTTCCTTGCAAGCCTTAACCAGCGCCTCCTCGGGCACGTCCTCACCAGTGACGCCCAGGAGAATATTCTCCCTAATGGTGCCTTGATACAAGGTGGGTTCCTGGCTAACAAGCGATAGGAAACTGCGGTAAGAGTTGACGTTCAGATGGGTGATGTCCTTGCCATCAATGAGAACCTTTCCAGCAATGGCATCATAGAACCGTTCAAGAAGCGCAATGGTGGTACTTTTACCACAACCACTTGGGCCCACAAGGGCAACATATTGTCCGGGCTTGACGGTCAGATTCAGTCCGCGTAGGACAGGCTGTTCGGCGCGAGTAGGGTATCTGAAATGAACATCACGGAACTCGATAGATCCCTCCACAGACTGAAGTTTTTCGCCTTCCTCCGACCAGGTGTCAATCTGCGGCTTCCTGTCAAAAAGTCTGCGGAATTCAGCCGCCGCATTCTTCGCCTTGCCCATGTCTGGAGCGAATGAGAAAACAGTACCAGCAGACTGAGCACCGAACAGAATCTCGGAGAAGCAGACAAAGAAACGGAAGACAGAATACTCGTGATGACCCAGAAGCGTACCTCCGTACCAGAAGCCGAGGGCAACACAGAAAAAGACCAGAGCCTGCGAGGCAGCATATAGGATAGAGGACTTCAGCACTGAGATCAAACTTGTACGGCCTTGCGCCGCTAATTGGCCGTGGTAGATATCCCAAACATCCTTTTCCCGGGTGAGAGAGGCCACGGTGCGAATAGCCGAGGTCGCCTCACAGGCATAGCTTGCAGAGCCCTCGTAGGCGCTCTTAGATCTTTGTTGGAACTGCGCGAGCATGTAGAAGCGGTAGAATCCACATCCCAGCAGAACCGGAACGACGGAAATACAGACCAGAGCCAACTTCCAACCGATGCTGAGAGAGATAATCATAGCTGCACCTAGGGTAGTACTGGTCATAAGGATTGTACCCAATGTGGCACCACTGACACCTGACAGATGTTTGGTCTCAGTCGACAAAAAGGATGTGAGTGCACCGGTGCTGTTTTCCTCTCTATCAAAGAAGGTAATATCCTGACGCAGCATGGATCTAAAGGCCATACTCCGAGCTCGCCGAATCAATCTCTCCGAGCACACGGCGAAAGCGGCACCATTGATAGAGAGATTGATGAACTGGGCGATTCCAACCACAAAGAACATCAAAGCCCAAAACGCACCATCATGCCTAATTTTAGCGGCCTCGCTCGTTGGCAGCGAAAGAGTGCTGATGGCCTTAGCGTACAGAACGGCCTGGGTGGGTTGGCCACCACCGGAAAGTACCGCAAAGACCAATCCGATGAGCATATAGAGAATCTCAGGGCGGTTGAAGGAAGCAATGAATTTGACCAAGGACCAAAGCGAGTATTTCTTGGCAACTTCCGGCTCTCTCTTGGCCAGAATGGCGCTGGAAATTGACTTGTGTGTTCCACTGCGTCCAAGGCCATTACCAGCGAACATCTTCTCGTCGTCATCAGCTAGGGAGCCGGTGCCACTGCTTGCTGACTTGATGCGTTCAATCTCTTCCCTCGCGAAGTCATCCTCATCCATATCGGCTTCATCAGTAGCCAAGGCTTCCGCATCCTTCTCCTCGTTAATGCGCTGTGCTTCCACGAGGCTGTGGTAGGTGCCCTTGCGACCAACGAGTTCGTCATGGTTGCCTTGTTCCACAATCCTACCATTCACCATAACGACAATATTGTGGGCTGACTTGATGGTAGAAAGACGGTGAGCAATAACAATAGTAGTGCGGCCTTCAGCAGCTCTATCCAAGGCTGCCTGAACAACACCTTCAGATTTCGTGTCCAAAGCAGATGTAGCTTCGTCGAGCAGAAGGATCTTCGGGTCACTGACTATAGCGCGTGCGATAGCAATGCGCTGCTTTTGTCCTCCGGAGAGTAGGAAGCCGCGCTGACCCACATTCGTCTCGTAGCCTTCAGGAAGGGCTGTGATGAAGTCGTGAGCGTTGGACATCTTCGCCGCATTTTCAATCAATTCCCTGATTTTGTCCTCGGATTCGTTTTCATACTTCGTGCCGATAAGACCGTGTCGAATGTTGTGGTAAATCGTCGTGCCGAAGAGGACAGGTTCCTGGCTCACCAGCGATATTTGTTGACGCAGCCAACGAAGGTTAAGGGTCGAAATGTCATGGCCATCCAAAAGAACGGAACCTCCCACAGGAAAATAGAATCGCTCGACCAGACCGACAACAGTACTCTTTCCCGAGCCCGATGGGCCAACAAGGGCAGTCGTCTTGCCGGCAGGCATGACCAGGGAAACACCATCCATAACAGTAACTTCCGGACGAGATGGGTAAATGTGCTTGATGTCGCGGAATTCGATATTGCCTTCGAAGTGTTCGAGCTTCTCGCCCTCCTCGGAGTAGGGATCCAGGGGAGAGGGACGATCGATAGTCCCATAGATCTTGACGGCTGCGGCAAGAGCATTCGTGAAGGCCTGACCATTGGGGGCGACATTTCCTAGACTAAATGATCCGATCAGAATAGCCATAAGAACAGTCAATACTTGTCCCACGTTAACCTCTCCATCAGTGAGGAAACGAGAGCCCATCCAGAAACCAAGGCCGTAGTTGGAAAACATGATACCGAACATGCCACCAATCATAAAGCCGAGAATAATCTGGGTCTTGATACCCCATTTTTCGGCCTCGGCCAAATGAGCCTCGTATTGCTTGGCCAATTTGTCTTGAGTACCGAATGCAGTGGCATTCCGAATTGAGCTGATGACCTCTTCCGCAACAGTTCCGCCGGCACCAGCGCTCTCCAAGGACTTTTTGCTGTACTTGACAATAAAGCGAGAACCACCTCCCATAGTCATCACAAGGGCAACAATGGTTGAGGTACAAATCAGAGCGAGTTTCCAATATTTGATATAGGCGACAATGAACGCAGTCACGAAGGTGGCCAGAGCTGTTAGTGTGAGTCCAACCTTCTCCGAGATACCGTCTTGGATCAGATTCGTGTCGGCTGTTATGCGAGTTGTAACTTCACCGGCTCCTAATCTATCAAAGTAGCCCATGTTTTGTCTCAAAATAGACTCCAGATAATGTTCCCGAATCTTTTGAGTAATATGTTCTCCAGTGTAGATGAAGCCGACGGTGGAAATATAGACGGTAACGAATTCGGCAATTCCAAGATACACAAAGTAAAGAACATTCTTGGTTAACTGGTGATAGAAGTCGTGGTACGAGAGTTCGTATAGAGCAATTCCTCTGAATGCCGATGCCAGTGAGCCGAAGAGAATCTAAGAAAGCCCAGGTTAGTTGCAGAGCCAACAAGGAACACCCTACCAAGCCACTTACGGTAAATAGAGGTAGAGCGGCACCTGCCACGATAGCGCAAAGCGCACTAACAAGCATGATCAAGATGTCCATGCGCGAGGCATAGCGAAAGAGAGCGAAAAACGACACCTTCACATCCGGCGAATCCAGTTGCTTCTTCAAAATCTCCTTCTCATGCTCGGGAAGGTGCGCGAAAAGCGCATCTGGATCTTCGGATTTGGCTAGAGCATTAGGACGCGAACCCTTGTCCTTCTCTCCTGCTGGGACCACCGTCGAACTAGATATGGAAGAACGGCCGGCCGACTTGCGATGTTCGGCTGAGGATGCGCTTCCCCGTTCCATCAACTCGATATCAGTGTTCTCGGCCTTGTCCCCAGGAAGGCGCTCATTTTCTGGGAGAGCCATCTTTGCTCTTTTGATGACACGCAGAAATGTCAAGTCTCACAGTTGTAGTTGTGAGGTCGGAAGGCGTGGTGTCGAAAGAAATAGAGAAACGAGAGGACGAAGCGCACTACTCCATGAGGAAGGTGGCTTGCGGTAGGTGAGAGACGCTGGGAGGAGTTTCAAATTGACCACCCTGTATGTTAAGAAGAATCGAAGGAAGGGTGGTATTCTCAAAGTAGGCGAAGGTGTGTTTTCGCAAGCTGGGCGCAAATCTTGTCGCGAGATATGCTTCCACGCGCAGAGGACCTAGAAAGGGATGGAATGGAATGTACAATGTTGATCCAACCTCAAGGTCGTTCGGAGAGGGGGAAAATGGATTTGTTGATTAATTAAAATTAAAGGTGTTAAGGTACTGCAAGGTGAAAGGGGGGAGGATAGGAAGGAGGAGGGGAGTTGTAGAGGGATATATAATTAGGAAGCTAATTATTCGTTAGTTAATACGTAGCCCTGAGTAGGGACTTGACTTGAAAGACTGGGGATTTAAATCCTGATGCCTCATTGTCGGCGTCAGCGCCTGTCCCCGTCATGTGTGGTACGGAAGAGGAAACATTCAATTTTAGCCTCCGCTTCTTAGCGTCATCGGAGCCCCGACTTCCCGAGCCTGT